AATTAAATTCATATAAGTTGATTAGGCTTTTGACCTAACCGATTAGATTGAATTTTTTTTTTTTTTTTGTTTCTTAGCGGTTTTATCAAAATATATTGGCTAAATTTGTTTGATTCGAAATAAATTGAAAATTGACCTAATTAAAGGTTAAATGACTGATATTGTTTGATTCAAAACAAACTTTCCGCCCAAACAATTGGTAATTTATTTGGAGTCCATAACATTTTCCTTAATTATTCATATAAGTTGATTAGGCTTTTGACCTAACCGATTAGATTGAATTGTTTTTTTTTTTTTGTTTCTTAGCGGTTTTATCAAAATATATTGGCTAAATTTGTTTGATTCGAAATAAATTGAAAATTGACCTAATTAAAGGTTAAATGACTGATATTGTTTGGTTCAAAACAAACTTTCCGCCCAAACAATTGGTAATTTATTTGGAGTCCATAACATTTTCCTTAGTTATATAAAGTAAACAAATGTTCTCATTTAATATTATAATATTGTGCATATTTCAGTTAAATACAGTTTATATTTAAAATAAAATAAAATTTTAAAGTTTTTTGACAAACTTTAACATAGAATAAGCTAAAACTAAAAAATTTATAAAATGAAATTTATTTTTATTTTCTCATAAACATAATTTTTTTAATTTAATCAATTTTTTTTTTCATATTTACCAATTAAATTATGACATTTATTTTTTATTGTAAACTTAAAATATGCAATAAATAACATAACAACTGCAATATACATTATAATACAATAGTTAAAATTTAATTCATTCTAAATTATTTTAATACTTTTAAAATAAATTTTATATTATTATTTAATTTTAAAATTATTTTTAATGATTTATTTAGTCCGTGCATCGCACAGGTTCATATGCTAGTTAAATATGTAACACCAAGACCAAAAATAACCATTTTAATATTCCATAAAAATAATATTTCCATTTCATATTGACAGAAAATCCCAACACAAAAAAAGAAATTTTTTATTAATTGCTATTAAATGTTTTCCTTATTAAGTCTCTGGAAAACTTCATTAATTACCATTTATATTTTTCTTTTCCTTTTTAAGTCTCTCATTCAAAGGAAAATTTTCATTATTATTAATTAATTTTTAAAAAAAAAATTCAATTTTCAGGTCTCTCCTTCAAAGGGAAATGTCTTTAATTACTATTCAAATTTTCTTAAATATTTTCTTTTTAAGTTTTCTCCTTCAAATTTTAATCCGAAATTATAAAAACTATACAACTATAAATTGCAATACATTGTTAGGCATTTAAGACTTAAACTTTTACATTCATTTCTCTGCCTTTTTTGAAATTTTAATATCATTAAAAAAAGAAATGTACCATATGCATCTTATAATAAAAGAAGAAAATGACGTAACTCTACTATTTTTGAGTCATAACTAAAAAAAATAAAAAAAGTAAGAATGTCATAACCAAACACTACATGAAGTATAACCAGAGATCTCATGAATTATAACTACAATATTGTCATAAGTAAAGAAAAAAATTAGTCATAATTAAAGAATATAATGACATAATTAGGGGTGCATATGATACATCTTTTCAAGGGGTGTGCATAGTAAAATTTTTCCATTAAAAATGATGCATCATGATATTAATTTTCTAGAGATCTCTCACAAATGTCCCTATACATTGTTTAATGTTAAGGAGTGTGTATAAAAAATCTTAAAAATATATAAAACTATTAAAAAGTATATTAATTCTAATAAAAGTGCATTGAATTTAATAAAAAAATATGTTGTGTTTTTTTAAAAAAAATTATCTTTTACTTGTACTCTAGAGGCACTTATTAACTAATTTTTTTTTTTTCATGCTCAGAGGTACTTATTAACAAATAAAAAAATAACAAAAGTTTTATCCAATAAAATTACTAGTTTTATTGTCAATTCATTAATATTATATTGTCATACATTACATCATCACTTTCGAGAGATGTTTCCACAGTCGCTCTCGCATTCTTGTATATTTGTCCAATTTTGAGCACGACAACAGAAGTCCTTTCCTCCTTCACAGATCATGGATTACAAGATGGTCTATGTATTCCACCTCCTCATAAATTTCTCACACGTATATTAAAAATTATATTTAAATAAAAATAAAAATGTTAAAAAACATTGATGAAAATTGGTAACAATAATATGTTAACCAACCCTGAGACAAAATAGGCTTTTCATAGACTTGAGTCACTCAATATAATTAACAAATATTTAATGGGCACTACAATATGTAAGACTTTTGGCGACCAATTATTTTGGTCCCTATAACTATTAATTTGGTCTCTAAATAGTTTTCTGACAAAATTAAATTCGTCACTAAAAAAGTCGCTAAAAGAGCGTCTAAAAAAGTCTTTAGGAACGAATTTTTGAAAATGTCACTGAAAATGACAATTAGCAACCAATTTTATGGAAAATGTCTAGTAGCTCAAATTTTGTGGCTCAAAAGTGGCTCAAATGGCCAAAATGACGTCGTTTTGGCCATTTTTATGTTGTTCTGTACTCAAAACGACGTCGTTTTGGCCATTTGAGCCACTTTTGAGCCACAAAATTTGAGTTACGTTGCATTGTCGCAATTTTATATTGTCACAAAATGTTTGATATTGCAAAACTAAAATATTTCGTCGCTAATACTTTGTCACAAAATGTCTTCATTTGGTCGCCAAAAGAAAAATAGTGACCTTTTTAACAACAAATATATTTGGTCGCTGAAGGTTTGAAATAACATTTTGAAAAGATTCAATTTCATAGCTACAAATTGACATCCACAGCCCAAATCTATCTCTGTATATAGAAAAAAACAAGATCAAATCTTGCACACAAGATCAAATCTATTCTTGTATATACAAAAAACAAATTACAAAAATCAAAACTCGGGCCTGCTTGATAACGTTTACGTTTTCAGTTTATATTTACAAAAATTTTATAAACTGATTTTTGTTTATTTTTAGAAAAGCATAAACTACAAACACATTTTGTTTAGACAACATGTTCAAAAAATGTTTAAAAATATTAAAAAAAAAAGTGAGAAATGACAAGTGGTGGCGGGTGGTGGGTGGAGACGAGTGGTAACGGCAGAAGACGGTGGTGGAAAATAGTAGCAAGTGAGTGGTGATGGTGGTGGTGGGTGGGTGGGTGACGGTGGCAGGTGGTAACGAGTGAGTGGTGGTGGTGGGGGAGGTGGCAAGTGGGTGGCGGATGGTGGGTGGTGGTGGGTGGTGGCGGGTGATGGGTGGTAGCGAGTGGGTGGTGGTAGCAAGTAGAGTGAATGTACTATTTTATCCTTTGATTTATGTTTAATTTCTAAATTGATGATATCAATTAAACTAAATTGATATGTAGTTAAAAATTTACAAAATTGCTACAATTAAGACTACAATGTCCAAATTAACCCAAGTATACTATAGGGATGTATAGACATGATCATGCAAGCAATCGATGTAATTATAATTTCAATGACCAAATTAACCCAGTTGATAAATTACATGAACATGTACTTTGGGGGTTCCTAGAGGTGCTTTTTTCCTTGTAAGAAACGTGACCACACTTCCAAGACATGCAAAAATGTCACTAATTAGTGCCACTTCTGAGCATATAGTTTCTCACATCATTTCAAAACTATAGAATCACAATTGACATCATCAAGCACAATCGTGGGTTTATAACGGTGTGCTTGTAAGTCGCCAACACAATTTTAGCACCCTCGGTGAGATGGCGAATCTATTTTAAATAGATTATAGTATCACACAAGCTTCGGTTTTCTTTCTTTTCCTCAAGTTTTGTTATATGTATTTCTGTTCATTAAGTTGTATGATATAGTCCCATGATTTCTTATAAGTACGAATTTGTTTGTTTATTTTATTTAAATTACACAATTTGTACAACAACTATTTATTCATTAATTTTGAAATACTCAAAATTCTTCATTTCATCTATGTGATGGTGAGAATTTGAATTCATATTCTAGTAAGTATGATTGAAAACGAGTTGAGTCGAATTTTTGAGTGTTCAAATTTGTTTATTAAGAATTAGTTGAGTTCTAGCTAAATTCATGTGTAAGCTTAAATAATCAAGCTCGATCTCGACTTGTTAAATATTTGAGAAACTTGAACTCGATTCGAGCCAACTCGATTATATAAATGAGTGTAAAAAAAAAAAAAACTTGAGTTTGAAAACAAAACATTGAGTTTATATTTTTTGGCCAAATTTATAAACTGAGATCATTGATTTATAAATAAAAAATTTACCAAACAAATTTTTAGTTGAGTTTTTAAAATTTTTGTAAATATAAAATATAAACTGAAAACGTACGAAGTATTCAAACTCACTTCAACATAGTTCATTATATGAGTTAAATTCCAAAACAAGATCAAATTTGTTTAACATTGTATGAGTTAGAACTCTATGACGACTTCAACTTTGTCATTTTCTCGCACCACCTCTTCACTAGTTCAGTTACAAGAGCAACATGCCCTAAACAATTAGTTGTTCCGCGACCACAAAAGCTAATCACCATCTATAGTCATAGAGAAATGATGAAAATCTTGCACACGATCATAATCACAAGTGTAAACAAAGTTCAAAAATTTTAAAAAGATGTAGATGAAATCCAAAAATGGAAATCAACCTTGAAGAACTTAACTAAGGCATTTGAAGCAGATAAAAGCTCAGATTTTTTGGGCAAATTGAAAGAAATTTTTTTTAAAAAAATTATTTGACTTCTATTAGACTCCAAATTGTAGTAATGCATTTGAAGATACAATTAAAAATTTGGAATCAAAGGGCCCATATGGGCTTGGACCCTTGGAAGATTCCACATAAAGATTGCTGAGGAAAAAAAGAGAGGAAAACACTTCTTATATTTTTGGAAACATCATAGCACATACCATGAACTAATGCATATCGAACCAAGTATGAATATTTGGCATGAACACTGCCAGAGGAATGATACAGTTGAATCTGAACGCTTTCACATAATTCATAAAGGATTTTTTTTTTTTTGATTAAGTGCCAGGACTGAAAGGACATGAAACATGGGGGATTTATGGATGGTATGTCTAAAAAAATATTCGAAAATAACGCACAAAAAAAACACTAACAAATAATCGATGTGATACATTGGGTATAGTACAATCATATAATCCTACTTACCAACGGGTTCAGGCAAACTCAGATGTCTACGAAGGCCACCAATCCCAGCAGCAATTATAGCAGCCAGCCCCAAGTGTGGATTTGCACACCCATCAAATGCTTTAATCTCAAAGTCGCTCACAACACCATTTTGAACCCCAGGTGGGCATGCGGTTCTCAGGGGTGCTTCTCTGTTCTCTTTTCCCCAGCACTGGTATGCTGCACTCCAAATATTGGGCACATGCAATCATAACTACATTCCAATAACAGTTGAACAAGGAAATTAGAGAAAACAAACTATATTATTTTTTGTTAATTTAATACACATTTATTTGAAGTTCAAAAACCCAACAACATACTAAAATTTTGATCCTTCAAACTGCATAAATTTGGAAGTGAAGAAATGGGCAAAAAGAATTTGCACAGAAGGGCACTATTTAAATTTAGCAAAAATGGAGCATCGACAATTAGAATAAGTGTCAAAAGTGCACCCTCACTTTACAAGCTAGCAATTGGAGTTGAGTTTTACACAAGACCATGTCACACAGACAACCTATGATAAGAATAGGAAAAGAATACATGTATTTTTAAAAAAAATAAGTTACATATTCTGCTGAAAATTGAAATCCTTCAATTCATCAAAAATTGAATTTCATTCAAAATTTCAAACATCTTATCTGTCTTTTCATGTTTCTAGGCCAACGAGTTCTACATAAAAACTTCCAGATTAGAAAAAGGTCCATACATAAAAATAAATAAATTCAAGTCTGCAGGGAGACATAGAAATGTAAGGATCTGTTTGTTTCAATTCAAATGATCAACTGGGAAAAAGTCTTTGCAGAATAGTGGCTCCCTAAAATTATTGTGAGAAATCTGCTTTCTTCATGCAAAACAGAAAGCGATGGAAACATCACCTTGAAAGGTTTTCCTCAAGATCAATAGTACACCCATCAAATTTCCAAATATAACTGCATGCTTAAAAAATAATTCTATGTAGACAAGATATTTTAACAGAACTGGTAAAAATGCATACTCCTCTGTTAGTACCTAACTACCTATTCATATGGGTTCAACTCTGACACATGTTTTGCACAAGAATAATCAAAATTATAAGAAAAAATTGAAAACCTGTTTGGAAGTGGTGCCGTAAAGGCCAGAATTGAAGGTAGATGATTTAAAACCCCTGCCATGAACTCTTCTCCAACCTTGGACATTCCATGCTTAGCGTGTCCACCTAAGAAGCATGGACACGGACACGTGACACGACACGAGTACGACACGGACACGCCGACACGTTAATTTTCAAAAAATGCAGGACACGACACGAGGAGGACACGCATGAAATATATAATTTTATATATTTATTATATGTTACATATATATGAATATATCATTCAAAGATAATAAAAAATGCAATATGACACTAATTCTTATAAATTTATATGGTTTTTATTTTATTATTGTATCTTAAGTTATTTTGTTCAAACTTATAATTAGTTTTACGTATGTCTAATCGTTAGATACGTGTGTTTAAACGATTGACACGTGTGTCCTTCAAGTGTCCAAAGAGTGTCCAAGTCTTTAAACAATAGGACACGTTTTGAAGAGTGTCGGACACGTGTCCTGAGAGTGTCCAAAGAGTGTCGGTGTCCGACACGTACCCGACACGGATACTTCCTAAAAGTGTCCGTGCTTCTTAGGTGTCCACCAGATGCCATAAATACATTTTTCCCATTTTCCCACAAACTAAGATGCACATGAGATCCAGAACCAATATCATCTAATGCATACCTGGAGCAAACAAAAAAATGGAGAAAACAGTTAAGAGACATAGCTTGAAGAAGAAAATTCTTCAGGTGAGGAAATGAGTGAAGTTCAACCAATATCAGATCCTTGTCAAGGATCTTCACCTCTCCCCCAAGATGTTCCAGCCAATACAGAACAGGGAACATATATGGTCTGGTTCCCTTAACAAACCTCAGTTAAATTAAAATTCACATCAAAAGGATCGAGAAATACCTATAATTAAAATTCACATCAAAAGGATGAAGTAAACAAAAATCAAACAGAATGAGTTAAATTAATTTTATTAATTCAACATTAAAACTAATTTTTGGCTACAATCTGTATTAAAAACTCAATACTACTTGAAGGAGCGAGAAATACCTTGATAGAGAGTGAATTAACCAATTGATGTCTTCAAAGTAGCAGAAATCTGCAAAAAAAAAATGAAGAAGAAGATGAAGAATCAACCTATAGAAAATCTACATCCATGACAATGTGCAGGCCAATCGAACAAAAATGTGAACTACTTATTGTGTTATTTATAGATCTACAATATATATATATATATATATATGAACATATTTTCAAAATAACAAACAAACAAGTACAAATAGAAAGAGTCATATGAACATATTTTCATTTGAATTTTAGGTTGGTAGATTAGATTAGATATATGATGCGTAATTAGTACATCAAATAATTTAAATGAAGTGAACATAAGAATATGCCTCTGTTTATTAATGGATTCCAAGTATCACTGTTAATAATAGCTCCATTGAATTGACTAACTGATAGATGAAACTTGTTTATTAAAAAGTCAAAGACGTCATCAAATATAAATCTGTGTAGGAATTTGTCAACCTAATTTTAATTGCACACCATGAGGTGGAAAAGATGGTTCAGAAAGTTAAAACAATTGGAAAAAGAAAATCAATACATGTAAATGTAGAATGTAAAGAGAAGGGTTGATACAGGGTGGCCTTCTTTTACAAGAAGTCTTGACGAAAACACACCAATAAACTGAGTCCCTTCCATTATCAGGATTTTCTTAAGATAATCATTAGATATTGAAATGCTAGAAACAACATATTCTGAATAATGGTCATCATCCGTCTAGAAAAATACAATAAAGTCAATTAAAAAATAAGATGAAAGTTGTGATAGCCAACACTGATGAAAATTCTCAAACAAGATTAAGGTCTATACTCAATAAAACGAGCTCGTAATTTATTTATGATTCTGAACAAATAGGATTTTGGAGTTAGTTAACTAAATCTCACATACTTACTTGGGGAAGGTAACAAACAAAAAAATGGGAATAAATATCACAGAGTAGAACTAGACAAAACCCCTTATGCATAACAACAAATGTTAACAGAGCCATAAATGATATGTATAATTCTAAAATTATTAAAAATTATAGGATGGCTAAAGAAGAACTTGACATAAACCAAGGAAAACGAGGCAAATAACGAGACAATGTGAGCTGCAATGGATCCTCACTGAAATCAATAGAGCAGACACTTTTTGTGCTAAACATTGAGGAAATTATGGATTGCACTGAAAACAAGGGGATTTATATTACGAATTGTTGAAGGTCAGTAGAAACATTGACTACAAACTTGAGAGTGACTAGAAACATTGGCTCACTCACCCTTTTCTTCAGTAGCTTCATCTTTAAAAAGCTTCTCAATCTAAACAATGACCCAAGTAAAAACATAAGCAAAAGGAAAAGAAACAAAGAAATGAGCAGATTTCTCATCATTCCATTCAATGTGTCATTGTCTAACATACCGCCATTAGAAACAAATAAAACAGACAAACTTTGAAACCCAAGTGCTACCACAATGAATATCTAAAACAAAGAGAAGGAAACACAGGATATTAAATCAAAAGGCAACAAGAGAACCTCACAGGATATTAAGTTTGTGGAAGTTAGGAATTTAGAGATTTATTAGTTTAATTTGCTATAAGTTGCTGGCACATGTGAAGATTGCAAGTTTATTCAAGAAGTTGTTTCTATCAGATAAAGCATTAAAAAATAAATAAATAAATTTAACTCCTTTTACTTTAGTCTTGTTTCCTATCTTTTTTTATTTCATTTTGCTTTCCCTCAATAAATCTAAGATCCAAACATGGCCTAAAGTGACTTTAAGGATTCTATAAACTATATAAAGGCAAAGCACAATAAAGAAAATTCACGACCTTGAAATATCAGTCAAAGCACAATAGAACATTTGCCAACTTAAATTATATAAATATTTGAACAATTAAAAAAGATGCAAATTCAAGATGAATCTTAGGTAGAAGTACCTGTTTCTAAAGACTCAATAAAGTCAATATTTCTTTTCTCAACTCAAGATGCTCTGCACATACAGCTTTGGTTGGTGCATAAAACTTTAAAAGAGCAAGGAAGCATGACTACAGACATGAATTCAGAAACTCTCCATTTTACAGGAGTTGGTTGTGCCGAGTTAACTGATAATGTATATCAGCCTTCATTTCTTAAGCATACAGCACAACATGAAGTGTGTGTATGTATAATATTTTCCAACCTTATTTTCAATAATGAAGAGGCAAAAATAATGCTGAAGTTTGAGTGAACACAAACAGGAGAAGCATCTGAAGTTACACAAAAGGTGCACCTCAAGCAAGCCAACTTGAGCAACTCAAGTTATAACTCTCACTATAGTATAATAAGTGTAACACCAACAATTAAAGCAACTATGTGACTCATATCAATGGAACACACTCACTATTTTCATAGTATCGTCATTAGGCATATTGTCAACCAGATGGTGAGCAAAATATAAAATTGTAGTAGTCCAATCAAACACCAACAAGATAGAAATCCATCAAGAAAAAAGAAAGTAACAGATATACATATTATGAAGTTTCTGATATAAATCAGTCAATGAATGGGAAGTTAAAAAAAAAAAAAATCATTCATCAAATCTATCAGGTCAAAATTTACAGAAAAATTCATATATAGAAACTCGAACAACAATCACAAAACAAAAAAAGATATAAAAAATTTACAGAAATTAAGATCAGAAACTTCATATATAAAACTCTGATATAGAGTTTAGAAATCAGAGTTTACTTGGTCCCTATATATTTAGAAATTAAAGTTTCAGAGTTTTAAACTTCATATATATCAATAATTTTAACAGTTTAGAGAGTACTGACCTAGGTTTTCGATACCAGGTAAGAGAGAACTCGGAAGAGAAGTAAATCGACAACTGAGATTCTTCTTCAATGAATCGATGATGAAATCTTCCATTGATTGGAGATTGTGATGTAGAAAATGATGAAGAGAAAGAAAAAGAGATGATCGGATCAATATTGTAAATCATATATATGTGTGTATGCGGGGAGAGAAAGAGAGAGAGAGAGAGAGAAACGCACCAAAATTTGATGAAGATTGAGCAAATCTGCCATGGATGCTTAGAGAGAGAGCAAACCCGTTGAAGAGAGAATGAGAGTTGCAACTTTTTGATTGCTAGCAAACCCGTTAGGGCTGAAGTGAGGTCCCCATTTTTCAATGGTTAAAATGATTAAAATATTTGGTCGCAAAATGTTTTTAATTGATAATGATAAAAATATTTAGTTTCTAAAAAAATTAATAATGTATTAGTAATCAAATTTATTAATCTCAAAAAGTTATGTAAATATTAAGTGAGAATATTAACAGATATTTTTATAATCTTATAAGTAAATTATCATATGTTTAAATTTGTATTATTTTTAGCGACCAAATTCAACTATTCCTTAAATATTAATCTCTAAAAGACTAATTTCTTGTAGTGGGGACCGTTCTAGGGGTAATTAATTGATTGAATTCTACAAAATAGACAAAGTAATTGATTTTACATAATAACTATGAGATAATTCATGAATTGAAAAACTAAAATTACGAAATTCATTAAGACAAAATGCATTGATATTTTATCATAAATATAATTATTGTATGAGAACTAATTAATATTAAATCAATTTTCTTTTATATTATAAACAAAGTTTTTGTTATAGTTTAATTATTTGTTTTAATCCGTGCATGCACGGATATATATATATATATATATATATATATTCTTTTTAGATAAATAGCACACAAATAGCATTGCATGATAGCCGTCTAATGGGTACAAGATGAAAAGGTTGGGATTGGGTACAATGACAAGCAAGGCGATGGTGGCTGGGACATTAAGGTGCATGTGGGACCATATTGCTCACTTTTTACAAAAGTCAAAGCTTAACATCTGGGTCAACCAACGATGACCTTTTGCATTACACGGGTGGACTTGTGTCAATACTACACCTACATGATTGTAATCACGTGTTAGGAGTTTTAGGAGTTTTATTGATTGTTTCTTTAGTGCAAATGAGATTGATTGTTTAGGTGATCTTGTAACAACCAACAAATTAAATTAAAAAAATTAAAAATGATAAAAAAGAAACTTACTTAAATGACCTTTACTAATGTCATTTATTTTGAATGTGTCCTGCTTGTTGGGCTAGATAAGATGATCTGAGAGTACTCTTGTGTGTACTATAACACTGCTCTGATAATCACGATGGGAGCAATCTAGGCCACTAGATTTGCACTCTGCATTGATAGAGACTAGAGTGAGTGAAAGTTGGGACAGAACCTCAGACTGCTTACTCGTATGTATCATTGTACTAGAAGCACACATTTAGTACACATGCATGTGCAGAAATAAAAGACGATTATAATTGTCATTTAGCAATAAAAAAAATTGACTACACTTGGAAAGAAAAAAAAATGACTACTTCTCAAATAAATTTTGTTACTATAAGAATAATAGAAGTCTCTCTAATAATAACATAAGTAGACTTCTATTATTCTTATAATATAATCATTTTTTTTATAATTGTTTTCAAGTATAGTCAATTTTTTTTGTTGATAAATGACGATTACAATTGTCTTTCATTTCTCCACATGCATGTGTACTAAATGTGTGCTTCTAGTACAGGGATACATATCGAATAAGAGACAGCTAGTAGTCTAAGGTTGCAACCCAACTTCCACTCACTCCAATCTCTAGCCATGCAGAGTGCAAATACAATGGCCTGGATTACTCCCATTGTGATCATCAGAGTAGTGCTAGAGTACACATATAACGACCCCAGTTTTCCCCTTCATATGTTGTATTCCGAACTCGCGTTCCATGGTTGGTTATTATTGTTTATATTCTGTTTCCGTCCTTAAATTCCTTGCATTTGAGTTTTAGGACATGTTGGGCAGGTTTGAAACAGGTTGGGTGTAATTTTAAACAAATGGTTGCTGTCCAGAATTTGGCATCTTCGCTCGAGCGAGGCTTTTTGCGCTCGAGCGAGCCTTGAGTTTGTGCATCTTCGCTCGAGCGAAGGTTCTTGCGCTCGAGCGAGCTTTCTTTGATGTGTTTAAGTGGGCTGATACTTGGTGTTCTCTCTCTCTCTCTCTCTCACACACACACACACACACACATGTAAAGCCCTTTGTTGTATTGTTGAATATGTTGCCAAGTTAGATATTGAATACATGCATTTGTCTGATCTCAAAGAGTGCCATTCAATTGAAGCATGTAAAACTCAGGAGATTGAGACACACTGTCCTGCTTCATTTTCTGGTAGGAATATTTAACCCTCATTTCGCCATAAAACTGTTCTAGTTTGCACCTCAGAGGATCCTCACATCCGTTCACTTTGTCTCTTCTATTAGCACCACTTTTTGCACAAAAATGATTTGAATAAAAAATCTAAATAAGCATAGGGGGGAGAGAGAAAACATTAATTCAGAGTTCTGAACTTATATAGTAGAAAAATGTCGGTAGTTCATACACTACATAGCATGTGAAATGCTGAAAGCTCATGGAATACCCTATTAGCTGCAGAGATAAATCTCCTAGTATGTCATCAATGCCGCATTCTTTGTACTCTCGGAAGTGCTTTATGGTTTGATTATGAGATGTGAGCCAAACCTATCCATTTTGTGGCCATATGCACCATAGTTAATGGGAAAACTAAATAACCAAATCCAACCGATGTGTATTGGGCCAGTTTGGTTTGGTTAGTGATGGAAACAAATCAAAAACAAGAATTGGAAGGGTAGAACAAATTGACAAATACCAATCCCCACAACACAAATGGTCTCGACCTCAAGTTAATGGTCACTTGAATATAAACTTACCTTCCCACTGAATTTTACAAGACTTCAGCTCCATTGCAATGACTCCAACCAACGTTGCCCTATGGTAATTCAATGGCGCACTTAACAAAGGAAACTTCAGTTCTTCCTGCCAATGAAGGTTGCAGCCCTTTTTATAAATGAAAACGAGACGTGGAGGAAAATACAGTCGTCATTGTCATTTTCTAATGTTTTTTTTCAAATACAGTTTCTAAAACAGGTAATTGTATGATGATAAGCCGCGTGTGTTTGGCTCAAGTTAGATGGAAGGATTGAAATAATCATTTGGTGGGATTATTCATCATATTTACATGAATTCTCAATTTCAAATCTAACAAATCAAGTTACAATATGATGCCATGTTATTTTACTGTTATATTTGTTCCATTAATCTGAAATTTATTACTTGCTATGAGACAAAGCTACACTGAGAGTTGGCTAATGTATTTCTATACATCCATTTCAATGTCTTTACAGAGCCAAGGTGCCGAGAATGCCAACACGGAAGGCATAATTGCAAAATGCGATACAAAGTTTAACAAGAAGTTTAGCACCGACAGATTGAGTCTGAAATAAGAAAGTATGATAATGAATTTGACCACAAGACTGATTACGGTGAAGGTGTTGAAAGCTGCGGAGCCTATGGTGTGGATTATGATTATGAGGATTGACATGAGATATGAAGAGCTTGGCTTTATGTTAAAATTTTAAAATTTATTATTTGATGTTACATTAGTTTATGAGAAAATTTTGTAAAAATATATTTTATTTTTCTATAATTTTTTCTTTCCTGACACATTCATCACATGACGATGAATATGCTATGAACTTGTGCCCTTACATAGCTTGAGAAAGAAATAAAAGAAAATTTTGATATTATTTATTAGAGAGGTTTTGCACACCTTGTTTTCTTTTTTGGTAAACAAAGCATAACAATATATTAAGATAAAATAGTTCTGGAGTATTGAGCCCCTACAGCATCCGTTAATTTGAATGATGCTTTAAAATTATAGGTTTATTATGGATTGAATGAATTATTAGGAATTACAGGTATATTGTTTTCCTGCTTTGACGACCAATTTATTAGTCGCGACAAATAAATTATTTTTTTTCGCAAAAAATGACAATTGCCGACCAAGAGTTTTGGACGCAAAAAATACATCTATTGCTGACCAAAAATTTTGTTGGTCGTGGAAAC